GGGATCTACATGAAAGTAATAGTAACCTGGCCATGGCTGGTGGGGTGAGGGAAGAAGCCAGATAGCTTTGAGTGTTCCCTGGCCTTTCTCCAGATCACTGTTGTCAGACCGAGCTCCAGTTTCCTTCTATCCTGGAGTTTCTGCTCAGATTTTAGATTCCTGCAGGGCAGAACCTGATTGGCTCAGTTTGGGTCAGGTGGGTATCCCTTGGGCCAATCCCTGTGGCCAGGAAATTGGAGTACATTGATTGGCCAGGTCTGAGTATTGGCCAGATAGTGAGCATTGAGGCTGATAATTTTCCAAGAGAACCCCATTATTGGGGAAAGGGCAGTTCCCGTAAGGAAAGAGAGGTGCTGTTACCAGAAGATGGTCAGAAGTAGTTTGGGAAGATAAAAACAAGTGGCCACGAAGGCCGGCAAACTAGGATTTCAAGATTATGGGAAGAGAAAGTAACCGCACTCTAAACGGCTGGAAAGAGGGGAAGCTGCTTCCTAACCCACACGGACCCACAGACTGTCCTGCTGGCAGGGCTCATGCCTGACTGGACTCCCTGGTCCTTGCCGCCTGGCTCTGTCTTCACTCTGATGTGCTCAACAAGGAATGTGTTTTGATCATGCATTGTCCTTGGTTCCTCTTGTATGTCCTTCCTCTGCCTCTTTCCTGTTCTCTGCATGACCACTGCTCTAGTTCTGGAGGACTGCCTTCCTTAGATTTGCTCATCAAGACTAATATTTCTAGAATCTTTTTCCTATAGGATTTGCTCTTGCAACTGTGAGGTAGGAAGAGACCAGATAAACTAGTTCCACAAGGATTTTAATATCTGAGACCTTAATGAGTTGTTGCTGTCACAGCATAATGCGCTTTTACTGAGAATTCAAAGGAGAAATCTTAGGCTCCATGGGGGGCTCTTGGTGAAGGCATCTTAGGGCTTTGGTACCTCTCAGACCATGTGGGTGTTTGCCTGATCTGCTCCAGGTGTGACTGCATTGATCCTGATACCAGGTGTACGCACTCCCCTCATGCACCCAACACTGAGTACTGGGTTCTGAGAGCCTACCTTGTAACCTGAAAAGAAATAATGCTTTGCATTAAATTACAACCAGCTGTAGGCATGCAGAGTCTGTCTGCATCGAACTGTTTGACCAAATGTATACCAAGGTGACAGTCACAGACTTTAACAATTGGTCTGGCAGGGGTACTGAGAAATCAGGTCCAGGATGCTGAAGAAGGGGCTCCTCAGGCCCCCAGGGTCTGTGTCTCAGAGCCTCTGAGGGCCCTGTGATGGGAATGAGGGGCAGGGCTGCAGGTGATAGGATATTGTCCATGAGGAATGTGAAGGTAAAGGTGGGACAAATGAGATAGGTGTAGATATTGTAGGAGGTCCCCCGAAGAAGCAGGTAGAAAGGACTCCCTGTTGAATTGCCCATTCCCACGACCGGCCTTGTGCGTGCTCTTGTTTCCCCAAGATGTGCTTGCACTTGGACCACTGACTCATGTCCTTGCTGCCATTGTTTTCTGTGGGCTCAGAGGCCCAACGTTAGCCAGATTTCTTGGCACTGTGCCAACTTTCCTCTGCGCTTCATTTCATCTCTTTCAAGTCCTTGCATGTCATTGCGATATAATTCAAAACCTTTATGGGCTAGGATCCAATGAACCCAACCCAAAGAGGAAACTGACTTTCTCATTGTTTATTTGGAACCACGAAGCAGAATACATTGGACATTTGTTTTCAATGTTTCATTGAGCTGGAACTGAATTGAAACTCAACTATTTCCAGTGAGGCTTTCAGATGTGGAATGATTTAGAGCAGGGGTCCTCAACTTACGGCCCGTGGGCCACATGCAAATACAAATATTGTATTTGTTCCCGTTTTGTTTTTTTACTTCAAAATAAGATATGTGCAGTGTGCATAGGAATTTGTTCATAGTTTTTTTTTTTTTAAAATATAGTCCGGCCCTACAACGGTCTGAGGGACAGTGAACTGGCCCCCTGTTTAAAAAGTTTGAGGACCCCTGCTTTAGAGGCTTCCCATGTTAGATCAAGAGGACTAATTAGAATATGAAGTGACCCCAAACTTTCCTTGCTCTGATCATTATCACAGGCTGTCTCACCCTTTGCTTAGAATTTTGTTAGAGGCTACAAAACCCTTTATGAAGCTGGGGTATTCTAAAGTACTCTGGGTCTATTCCAGCAAGTACTCCACCAAGTATCTCTGTGTAAATGATCTCAGGCTAGGTCTCTGTCCTAACCTCTGTGACTCCCACAGTAGACAGTGTTATCTGTCACTACCTGGCTCTACCCAGTGAGACCTGGGCACATAGGTATGGTATGGTGTATGGTGATATTATATACTGCTGGGGCTGCCTGCCCAGTAGCCATTCATCCTGCTTTGGTTGCAATATGGCAGAGCTCACCTGCTACAGTAGAGGTTGACTATGCATGGTTTCCCAGACTCCTCTGTAGCCAGCAATGGCCATGTGACGCAGTTCTGCCAAAAAGACATAAATGGAAGTATTTTGGGAGAGCTTCTGGGGAAGATTTTCCTCTCTGATAAAAAGAGAGACGTGAGAGAATGACTCTCTTACAATTCTTGTTGCCTCCTTCCTGATGTGATGTTGGTAACCAAGGCGGCTATTTTAGGGCCATGAGGCAACAGCCTAAGGATGAAAGTGGAGTCTTTTGAGGATTCTGAGAATGGTGAGGAGGATGGGAACAGATTACATCCTTGATAATAATTGTTGAGCAGCTGCACCAAACCTGGAAAAGAACTTCCTACTTTCAGGAATGAAACTCCTGTTGTACAAACACGTTTAGACAGGTATTCTGTTACTTACTGCCCAAAGCATCCTATTTAGTATGACTGCCTGGTAATTAATAAGTTCTTGTTTTCTGTTTCTTAGGAGGAAGAAGCCACTGGTCCTGTTGCCTGGCTACCTCTTCCTCATTGTTACCCCATTTACTCATTTACTTGTTAGTTCACCTTACAAAGTTTTTTAGTGAGGGCAGGACTTTTGACTGTTTGGTTTGCTACTGCAGTCCCAAATCCCATCTATAATAATAAAAGCGTAATATGCTAATTAGACTGGACAGCAAACAACCTTCTGGACGAAGCCGCAGCAGAGGGGGCCAAGGAAGAGGCAGTTAGGCGTGATCAGGCAGGCAGGCAGAGTGGTTAGGAGCAATGAGGCAGGCAGGCGTGTAGTTAGGGGCGATCAGGCAGGCAGGTGAGTGGTTAGTGGCGATCAGGCAGGCAGGCAGGCAGGTGAGCAGTTAGGAGCCAGCGGTCCCAGATTGCAAGAGGGATGTCTGACTGCTGGTTTAGGCCCCATCCCACAGGATCAGGCCTAAACCAGCAGTCAGACATCCCCCGAGGGGTCCCGGATTAAGAGAGGATGCAGGCTGGGCTAAGGGATTCCCCCCCCCCCCCCCCGCACATGAATTTTGTGCACTGGGCCTCTAGTTATGTAATAAATGGTCATGAGTATGGACAAGTACATTTCCTCCCTCCTAGAAGGCAAGTCTGCACAGAAAGTCAAATAGCTTGTGAGTACACAAGCAGACAAGGTGCAATAGTTGCATGACTTAAATGATTGAATTTGCTAAACCATGATACCCCAGCACACCCATTCCCACACAGAGATCTCCCCTGACTCCTGCTTGTGACCCACCACCTCAGTGCTGAAGACCCCTGCCAATTCTTGCTTCCAGTGCCTAAGGTCCTGGTTAATAGGCTACCCCATCAGACTTAAGTTGCTTTAGATATGTTAATATCTATTTGGTTAATACTTAATAGGGTTAAGGTCAGACCTGGGAGCAATCTTTTCTTTTAGAAGACTTTGCATATATTGGTTCTGATCTATTGTATGTATTTTATAGTTAATTTTAAGAACTGTGAAAGCAGACTTGTATAGGACTTATCTTCACTTCTTTAAAAAGTTTATTAGTTATTCTATTTGTTTAGATTCCTTCAGGATCTGCATTGCTAATTGTTTTAGCCAATAATGGTCTGTGGGGGTGGTCAATGCCCGTTCAAGGGGGAGATTTAACTCTAAAGATAAAGCCTTTTGGAAGGTAGTGTTAGGTAAGGGGGAAGGCTGAAAACATGAATAGGCATAAAACCGTGTTCTGCACTTAACAACTAAAAAAATATTCTTGCAAGGTTGTCTGTAATAAGATCCTTGGAAAATCCTCATCTTCAGTGGAACTTAACCTTCCAGCTCAACGTACTCTGTGCTAATCAGGTGTGAGGGAAACAAGCAAATCTGGACCTGGAACTCCCACAGGTGAGGTATTCGATGCCTGGAATCTTTAGCAGAAGAATCTCAAGACCTTTTCTCCATTTTCTACCTCAGACCAAAGGGGACATTTAATGACCAGATCACACTCCTAAATTTATTATCTTGAAACAATAGGCAGGGGAGGTTTTGTTTTGACCAAGAGCACTGCAATGGGCCAACACTGTGTGGCCTCCTTTTGTTTCCTGTTTGGGCTGCTTTTGAACTTGGAGTAAATTTCCATTCTTACCATGCTCTCTTTCAAGTGTGCTAACCATGGTTGAAAGGAGGTGGAAGAGAAGTGGTAGAGACAAGCTGAGGCCGAAGAGCTTGTCCTAGAGAGCTGACTCCTGAGGCGTGCCATGGCCCAGCGTCAGCCCTGATGGGGTGCCCAGACCTGTCTGGAATGCATGGATGCTGGCTCTCAGCATTCTCATCTCTAGTGTTAGGAGCATTCCCTGAACATGTGTAACTGCCCTTAGTATCCATTCTCACCCCTGTGTGAGGAGGACAATGATAGTTGAGAGGATACCCCAGGGGATGGGCCCATAAATATGAATTGAACAGGCTTTGCTCAAATACACCTCTGGTGCTACTACCAAGTATAAGAAATGAGTAGGATTCTAGCACCTCGAGATACAAGCAACACATACTTGCCCATGTGATTGTCAATATACACAATAGTTATAAAAGGCATGCAACTTTTAAACAAGATTTACACGACACTGAGTTGTGATTATAATTTATTCATATTCTTACAAAGAAATTTGTTATTACAGACAATAGGAAAAAATACAAGTGGTCCCTAAGAAAACGCAAAAAATACTCACTGAGATCAGGCTAATACTTAGTAACAAAAATTGCTTGTGAAAATCAATACCTTTTAAATTAGACAATGTACAAGGCTTTGAAATGTTCCTATTTACAAACCTGTGTGAGCTCATGGGAGGCCTGTAATTAGCACACTGGGGAGGCCCATTCTGAAGATTCGACTTGGAGACATTTCAGAGGCCTCTGGTTCACTCACACCGCCCAGGTTCTTCCTCCGGGTCATCCGTGGTCATGCTGGCCTTTAGTCCTGCGCCCCCTCCCCCAAGCCCTATTTCACAGATTCCCTAACCAGAGAGATTTCAGTTCAAACACTGAAAATTTAGTTTTTCCACAGGAATATACGTGACTCTATGACAGTTGCAAAAGGCTTTGGTCACAGGGTTTTTAAACTGGAACAATGTTTGTTTTCCTGAGAAAAGGAAGAAGTGAACTCTCCCTCAAGTATTTGTAGGTTTACTTCCCTTTTTATGCATGTTTATTGATTCAGCAAACTGTATATATAAATATTTTTTAAAATATATTTTTATTGATTTCAGAGAGGAAGGGAGAAATAGAAACATCAGTGATGAGAGAGAATCATCGATCAGCTGCCTCCTGCCTGCCACCACACTGGGAATTGAGCCGGAAACCGGGGCATGTGCCCTGAACAGGAATCAAACCATGACCTCCTGGTTCATAGGTTGACCCTTAAACACTGAGCCACACCAGCTGCATGTATATTTTGCACTGGAGCACTGCAAACCCGAAGAGGGAAAGTCCTTTAAGATTCCACAGTTTCTCTTTCTGCATTCTCCATATTGAACTGATACAAACTGAAGGAGAAGGGGATTGGCAGAACTTTCTACCGCCATCTCCAGCCCATTTGGCTATAAAATCTTTATAGAACGGATAACTTTTAAAAGAAAAATGGGAGAATCCTTTAACTGGGTGTCTTTTTGGTGGCTCAAATATCATTGGTTTCTGAGAGAGAATATTTTGAGTGTTCAGAAAATAATACACTTTTTAAAGTCAAAATTTAACAACTTCTAAACACCTAGAAGCAATCTCACTGTAACTTTCAGTCTTTGTAACATGTAAGATATCCTCAAAGGAATTGAAAATATGATTTTAAAGGGCCCTCAGTTGCTGATGACTTAATTCTACACATTCATGACATTTACAAGATTAATTTAAGGATTAAAGTAAAAATAGCTATGCCGAATATTTTATTAAACTGTAACTTTTTTAGCCCTGGCTGCCGTTGTGGCTCAGTTGGTTGGGCGTTGTGTTCACTTGGGGGTTGCCGTGTTCAATTCCCCGTCAGGGCACATGCCTGGGTTGTGTCTTCTCACCCCGTAGGGGGCCTATAGGAGGCATCCAATCAATGATTCTTTCTCATCATAGATGTTCTTATCTCTCTTTCCCTCTCCCTTCCTCTCTCTGAAATCAATTTTTAAAAAATCTTTTTAAAAATGTAACTTTCTATACTATTTAGGAACTGGTTAAGCCAAGAACTTCTCTTATCTCATTGAAGACAAATCCATTCTCACAAGAAAAAGATAATAAACTCCTCCTAAAAAATCCCTTGCAATCTCCAAGAAAAGTAACAATACAGAATAATGTTGACTGACAGAAATTCTTTCTCCCTAATGCAGCTCTGTTAGCCTGAAAAGAAACAACCATCTTCTGCAAGTGAAATCCACGCATTGACAACACAGAGGCCGTCCTGCTGAGGAGCCGGGAGCAAGCTCAGCAATCAGGTGGCCTCGCCATGCTGACCACAGCTTATCATGTGTAACTTGCATTGATTTTTCACAAGTCAAACAGCTTATCTGAGATTTCGGGGTTGACTTCGATTTTATGACCATGAATTCCATTTCCTTAAGGCTTTATTTGGTTTACAGAGCTTAATTTTTAATACTGTTAACACCATCTAGCCAACCAAACATAAAAAACATCAATAAATATCAATAATTAGCTCTAGTCTCAGTTCCTCTTTCTGCTGGAGCATTTTGGCTTTGTAAATACATTCCAGTCTTCATGCCAATGCCCCGCGAGGGTTTAACATTCCATAGCCAGAGCGTGTGGTCCCGATGCGTCTCTCACATGTTTAGGGATGTCCCTGAAGTCTAAGAGAAAACTGCAAAATGAGCTTAAGAACAGATAGCTGGTGGGTTAGCAGGAAAGAGGTTACTAGTGAAAAACAACTATTTGCTGAGACTGGAAGCCAACTGGGGCAGTTAGTCAGAAATGACCGTGACCACCGTTGTGGATGAAAGTTGCTCTCACAGAGGGCTGTCCACCAACATTTTCTTGGCTTGTAGGTAGAAGATACGGTTTTCTTCAGGGTAAGTGACTTTACTGAGGGGCATCCTGTAGAAGTTGGGGTTTTTCGTGGTCAGCAAGAGGAACAGTAGTGTGGCCAAACAGAAGGGCCAGGTGGCAGATGGCAGTCCGACCTGAGGAGAAGAGACGAGCACGAGTTCCTTTGAGAGCCTGTCGGAAAGCTAATCCACACATAGCACCACCTCTTACTCCATCCTCATTCTGCTGGGGATTTGCCATGGGGGTGGGGAGGGGATGTGTGTGTGTGTGTGTGGGGGGGGGGGGTGGAATTGCTCTGGACTCTGCTTATGCCCATGGAGATTAAGTCTGAGCTTAGGACCTTTAGCAGTTGAAATGTCATCATCCATTCTTTCAGGGGGTCAGCTATATTTCCATCTTGTATATCTTTCCCTTGTTCTCAGACATTTAGACTTCTAACACCAGATGTGAAAAGACGATACTTGGCACAGAGATGACGCCTGGCAAATCCCCAATGGCTCCCGACCATTCCTCACATCCACGAGGCCCAGAGTGACCTCTCTACCCCTTGACTTCCACCCAGACTAGGTCTTAGACTCTACTTGCTTTCCTTCTTTTTCACTCTGTCTCCCAAATAGACTCTAAGCTCCTTGAGGGTAAGTCTCTCTCCTGTGCTATCCATGGTGACTCATGAGATTCTGAGCATACACCACATGCCCTATGCAAGGACCCCATGGGTGTGATGGTACCCAAACCTGGCTGCACATCAGAATAATCTGGGAAGGGGGTTAAAAACACAGATGTCCAAACACCAGGTCGGATCCACTTCAGCAGGAATGCCGAGGAACTGGGCCCAAGGGTCTGTGTTTTTGAAAATCTTTCTTCCTAGCTGACTCTGTTGTACAGCCCGTCCAATTCTGGTCTGTGGATTGATGTCTGTGGACCTTTGTTGGGATGGGAAGGGCCCTACAATGCTCTAATACACTGCCTGCCATGCCTGTAATGGCGCTTTGACATTCTACCAGAAAGATATTGTGTCTCCAGACAACCCTCCCAGATAAACTCTCTATTCTGCTGTTGAGAGGACTAGTTACTGTCTTGACCTATTAGCAGCCATGATCACATCCATATGGATGGAGCTATCAGAAACTGCTCTGCATCACCTGCAAGGGGGGTGAAGAGAGAAAGTCCAGGGCACTGGGAGGTGGGGGCGGGGGGGGTCCTGGAATAGTCATACTGGATTCCTCAGGAAAGGGGAAAAAGAAAATCAAAGGGCCAGATAGTGCTGAAAAGAAAGAGGAGAGAGTGGCAGGGAACCCTTAATGGGCAATGATTTTGCCTATTCATTAATTAATCCAGGACATGGGTCTAAATAAATCCTATTGATGACTGACTGGGGACTTAAAATAAGATAAGGGATATGAAAAATGATTGGCTTGATTAAAAAAAATGGAGTCTTTAGCTAATTATCTTTCCTCCCTTTCCTGCTTTCTCAACTACTACATAGTCCTGGCTTTCTGTTGCAGTAAAATATATTCTAAAGTCAACTTCCTGATACTCACAGTTAGAGTCTAAACTTGGTATTATGTTATACAACCTCAATTTCACTTCCTTAAACTAAGCAATCTGATATTCTTAACAAGCCTGGTGACTTCAATTTGGACCAAAATTTACCGTGATGCTGGAAGGTGAGGACAGACAGGTGCAAGGAAAGGGAAAGTGGTGGCTGTCCCAGTCATGGATCCTGCCCTGGGACACCACCCACATGGGCTTCAGGAGGGTTTCCATATCACGGAAAGCTGACCAGTCATGCTGTGGATAAAGCAAACTCACCACAGCCATCAGATGTGACATGCTGGTTCCCAGGTAGGCAGTGAACAGGGCTAAAGAAAAAGAAGAGAGAACAATGCTTGTTAGGCTTCATTTCATTGTGGGAAGGGCTCCCTGTGTTATAAATCCCTTGGAATGTAAACATCCACATTTTGCCAGCTAGCCCAGAACCCTGGTTGCAAGTATGTGTTTGGAGTCAGCAGCTCTGGGTTTGAATCCAGACTCCACCATTTGCACAACGGAGGTTTTAGGAACATTCCTCTCACAGGGCTGGTGCAAGCATGAAAGGAGGTAATGCTTGGGCTTAACACACAGTAGTACTCAATAAAGGTATCTTTTCTGTGGTTACTATCTTGTTGCTGCTTTGCTGATACTTATGAAAAAATCCTTCCATAGCAAATAAACTTTCCTGTTATTTTATCCAGGCAGAGTAGAATGAATTAAAATGAAACTTATGAATGTTTCTTGAGGTAGTATGGTTTCTATACTGCATCTGGGATTCCCAAATTAAGTCAGTTACCAAAAAAAATCATGGTATTAAAAAAAGAAGAAGGTAGTAACTCAGAGATCAGCAGAAACTGAGTACAAATGTGGAACTCCTCCCCAGAATAACATTTTTCCAAATACCATTAAGGCTGGCATACAAGCCAATAAATAAATATGCTATTTTTAAATTTACTTTTGGTAAAGCATGAATCTTAGAGTAGGTAATCTGAGTGTATGTGTAACTTTCAATGTAAAACAGCAAAAACAAAGATCTCAACTAGCAAATCATTAATTCTTCAGTTTTGGCTGAAGAGGGGGCTCAGAGAGGTTCAGGAAAGCAGCCTGAGGAATGATTTGCACACACCCTTGGGCCACCAGCACACACTGAGATATACTCACCACCTAGTCTTCCTGTCTGGTGAGAAATCACACCAGCTATCTTGGGGGGGCGGGACAGGAAATGGTGGGAGGAACTCTGTGATCCTCATTTCCATCCTTTTATCAATATTTTGTCTTTTTATCCTGGTATTTTTGTTCAACAGTATACCTAACTCTTTCACATCTGAATTGTCTCACGCTAGTGGGAAAGGCTCGTCGTTGGAACCAGTTTGGACTTCAAATCCAAGCTCTGCTGTTTGGTTTGTTGTACAACAAATCACCTAACTTTTCAGAATCTAGTTTCATAGTCTGTAACAAGGTAACTTGGAGGTGTATTTTACAAGGAGGTGGTGAATCTCAAATGAAATAGTGTATTTCCACAACAGCAGCTGTCAACTCACCCCTGTCATCACAGGATTGAGATATTGCTCTGAGCAGAAGGGTTGAAAGGATTTCTATGCTTGGTTTCCATAATTTTATTCTTTTCCACCCATTTCATTCATTCATTCACTCATTCAACAAATATTCACTGTCCCTCAGTTAAGCACTAGGGACACTCTATCCTTGCTCTCTTGAGTACCAGCCCTTCTGACACATTTCCTGAGCACATGAGACATTATCACCATTTCTCTCCTTTTAATGCCTATTGCACTTCTAAGACACAATCTTGGTGTTCAGGTCTTTTTTTTTTTAATTAAATCTTTATTGTTCAGATTATTACAGTTGTTCCTCTTTTTTCCCCCCATAGCTCCCCTCCATCTGGTTCCCACCCCACCCTCCGCCCTCACCGCCCCCCACTGTCCTCATCCATAGGTGCACAATTATTGTCCAGTCTCTTCCCGCATCCCCCACACCCCTTTCCCCCCCAAGAATAGTCAGTCCACTCCCTTTCTATGCCCCTGATTCTATTATAAATACCAGTTTATTCTGTTCATCAGATTATTTATTCACTTGATTTTTAGATTCACTTGTTGATAGATGTGTATTTGTTGTTCATAACTTGTATCTTTACCTTTTTCTTCTTCTTCCTCTTCTTAAAGGATACCTTTCAGCATTTCATATAATACTGGTTTGGTGGTGATGAACTCCTTTAGCTTTTCCTTATCTGTGAAGCTCTTTATCTGACCTTCAATTCTGAATGATAGCTTTGCTGGATAAAGTAATCTTGGTTGTAGGTTCTTGGCATTCATCACTTTGAATATTTCTTGCCACTCCCTTCTGGCCTGCAAAGTTTGTGTTCAAGTCTTATATTGAACTTGGTGTTCTAAGTGATCTCCAATTCCAAGTTGCTTTTCTGTCAATAGTAAGTGTCAGACTATCTAATAGCAGCTGCCCATCAACTAAGACTTGCTGAGCTGGGCTGGGAAAGCCTTCATTAGAGGTAAGTTCTGTACATTACAGTTTGTAGCTGAAGACCCTGACAGTGTTCTGGATAGTCGAGGGAGAGAAAAGGCCCTTAAGTGCTGAAGGGAAGACTAGATTTCCATTCTTCATAGACAATGTCCCTCCCAACAGACCACCATGTGTGAGTCCTACCATCATATCCTGGCCACGCAAAAGAGGTACAAAATGTGTTTACAGTTTGCATTGATAAAATAACAAAATTGAGGGATTCCTTGGTTTAGAGGCAGGGAAGGCAGCTTTGGCAGGCTCTATCAGAGTCTGCCAAGTCTTCTTTCCTGAAAAAGCCATATAGTAGGGCACCTCTGTCATAAATAACTGTTATTTATTTACCCTGGCTGACAAGGTTGAGTTTTCTTTGACAGCATCAGGGTGATGTGGGCAAGCTGAAACTTGCCATGACATTTTACATGTGATATTTGCTTGACAAGAGGGGCTGGAGGTCTGTCTCAAAACTTGATGTCTAAAAGGAAAAACACTGAGAGTACCCAGTGTGATGAAACAGACACCTTTACACACTGTTGGTGGCAGAGGACATTGGTATGGCTTTTGTGGGATGAATTTGGCATCTATTAAAATTAAAATTGGCAGAGCTGGAATTTTGGCACCAGGGTGTGGGTTCTTAACTGATTCAATATACTGCCTTAACCTTTATGCTAAACTAGTAAAGAAAATCTGATCCACTCAAAGGAAGGTAGGCATGGCAGGCAGAGTCAAGATCCCTAAAGATGTCTCCGTCCTAATCCCCAGAACCTGTGAGTATGTTACCTTACATGGCAAAGGGACTTTGCAGCCGTGACTAAGAAATCTTGATAGAGGAAGATTACCCGGGGTCATCCGAATGGACCCAATGTAATCACAGGGTCCTGATAAGAGGGAGGCAAAAAAGTTCTATCCAGAGAGTAGGATGAAGAATGATCACTGTCTGCTTCATACTCCACTGTATTGACAGAACTTTGTTTTGTTTTGTTCAATTAGCCAGTGTTACTTCTATACTAAAGAAAATAATGAAGATATTCCTGCTTTGGGGAAATACATCTTCAAGCATCTTTGGTTTCACCTCTCTCCATAGTCTGTCAAGGCCTCATCCACAACTCTTTTGACCAAAACAGTTTCTGCTTGACCTTTAAGGATGGGCTCAGGCTGTTCCCATGCTGACCCTGACCACCCTCTCTACCAACAGGAATTTCTCCTCCCAGTGTTTAGGACTTATGGAAAAGCCAGCTTCTCTAGGAGGTGCATCTCAATGATTCTAAACTGTAGTGTTCCTCTAAGAATCTTGCACTGTGAATGTTTCCTTGTTCTACTGTAAATGTCGTATGGGCTCCTGTGGGCTCTCTCTCTTACTCATCTGGCTTCTGCCCTTAACTGTAACTCTCTGTGATCAAGAACTACCTGGGATCTAAAGCGTCTAAATCCCCAGGTCTTATAAGTACTGTCGGGACTGTATCATGAGTGTTTAATATGTATTTGCTGCCAACACAGAAAAGTAAAGGTATGTACTCCAAATAAAGGTTTGAAACCTCAAACTAATCTCAGAAGAAAGATTCTAACCCCACTAAGATCAGGTGGCCATATAATCTGTTAGAGCCTTCTCTTTTGCCCTAAGCTTCTGAACAAGTATGAGAGAATGAGCAAAAAGTTTTGAAAGGGTTACTGGGGAAATAGTTGTGTGACTACAAAATGACATATAAGTGGCCACTTGAGTTTTATTATCCTTGCTGCAGCGCCAGGAAATCAAAATTGAATGAGGCCTTGGAAAACCTTGGTCCCATCCCACCCCACCCCCTGCCCAATGCAGAAATTCATTCTAAATCCTGCCTAACACGAGGTCTGCCATTTTAGTAATGACTTAGACACCTTGGATTGCTTAATCTGGTGACAAACTGGCTCTAGACAAATATTCCCATTAGGTTTGAAGTAATTTCTGCACATTCCACTATCCTTGCACCCCTTTGTCCCCCAGGGAGTGTCATTCCCTTCAGTCTAGCACAGCCATTTTCAACTGCGTTGCTGTGGCACACTGGCCTGCTGCAAGAATGTTTAAAACATGCAACACCTGACTATTTAGTCAGGGACACTGACCTCTTTCCCTTTAGATTGTTAAATAAAAAAATAACAACAGCCAACACATCTGGTGTGAAGGAATCAAAGTCATACCTATTTTTTGTCAGATCAGCAAAAAATATATATTTTTTGGTGCAACACAGAATTTTAGTAATTACTTTGTGTGCCATGAGGTGAAAAAGGTTGAAAATCGCTGGTTCTAGCACATTATCTTAAGTGCTTTTACTTGTATTGATTTAGGAATATCAGAAGCTATGGAAAACAAGCATCCCTCCCAATGGCCTGAGAAGTTCATTAGCTTTTCAAATCTAAATCACTGGAGTCTGTTTTCACCTAAGGCCTGGGCTTAACGTTTCAGGTTTTTAGCCAATGTGGGTGCTGGGTTTGCATTTACACTGCATTCCCCCGCCCCCATTGACTGGGTGTCCTTTGGCCTTAGTTCCCCAACAATCAAATGAGAAGGATGGTGGAGTGGAGCTCTCCAGAGCCCCGTCTAGCTCTGTGGGCTGAGTCTGGCTAGAATGCAGGGATCAGAAAGGGTTAATGCAGCAGCTCTCACAGTGTGGTCCCCAGAGCACCAGCGCCAGTTCCCACTTACACTTGGTTAGAAATGCAAACTCCTCCCTCCACCTCTAACAATGAGCGAGGGTCTGCGGGTGGGCCCAGAGGTCTGCATTTTAACAAGCCTGCCGGGTAGTTCTGATGCACACTCAAGCTTGAGAAGAGCTGGATGAAGGTGATCCTCAAAGGGCCGCACAAAATTCTACCTGAGTCACCAGGGGAAATGGCTCCGCATTTAGCTTGAGTTACTTCCGTTTCGTTTCTTGGGTCAAATGATTAGTGTGAAGAACACAGGACAAGTTGAGTTTCTGTGCCCCAATATACACATATGACAAAATGGAGAGTACCTTTCCACAGGCTCTCCTGTCTCAGTCACCACCTAGCTGGGCAGAGCTGACTCGAATACTCCCAGAAAGGGGATGCCACTCACCCTGGTCACACACTGAGAGAGCACGGGTCCCAAACAAGAACCCCAGCCCTAGTGTCTCGTGCAGTCCTTTTGTACTGTTTGTCCTGGATTTTGATCCCATAGTCACCAGCACCCCTCCCCCTAGATGCACGGATTACTCACCACAGGCGAGAGCCAGGAGGTGGGTTTGCCAGGTGAGCGCCATGAACATCCCTCCAATTGCAATGCAGGCCAGAGAGCTGTTGAAACCCCAGAGTCCAAAGTAGATGCTCTCGAATGGAGCCGAGAGGCTGAGCGCTGTTAGATAAGACAGGAGCAGTCAGAGCAGCGGACGGACGCAAGGCAGGGTGCTCTGGAAGGGGCCTCGGGTGGAGGCAGCAACTGACAACTGTTGGTCCCTTGAGGCAGAGAAAGGTCTGGGGTACAGAAGGTGCCTGAACAACACCTGGGGCGGAGGAGGTGCTCTCCATGCTTGCTCACCTGCTGCTACCCCTATCGCCGACCCGATTGCAGCGTGCAGGCACATGAGTGGGGAGGAAAGCAGGATGGCGCACAGGAAAATGAGCCCCGTCCACAGATTGTCACAGCCGTATATCTGACCAACACCCACAGGCAGGGATTTCAGTAACTGCAAAAATAATTTAGGAAATAAGTCATTAAAATAACTGGACAGAAACCCATAGGACACCCACAAGCACATATGAAGTAATTTTAGATTTAACATATCTAATCTTTTGAGATAAGTGTCATTAATTTAAAAAATTTTCCCTCTCTCTTTACAGAAAAATCTCAGTCCTATTTCTGCTTTATTCCCAGAGATACACCAGCCTTTCCCTGGTGTACCCTTCCCTTTTCAGCACCCCTCTCCACTCCCTGCTCTCCTGCCTGCACAGACGCGTGGCCTTGGTAACTGTGATGCCACTGACCCACTGTGAGGATCTCCAATGCCTCCCCATGAGGGTGGCAGGGACCACCACTTATACGTCTACTGCTTTCAACTGTCCATCCCTGCTGGGGCCAGTCCATCCATGCATCTCTACAGTCCATAGAAATATTATTGTTCCCATGCAATCTGGTGGTTAATGAAGTCAGGGGATCTTATCCACAATTCAGAAGCAGGTCTATACTATGAGTTTGATTCTACCCTAAGCTGGACCCTAAATTTTTCCGCCCATGCTGGATTTTCATATCTACACAAGATTACTTCCTGTTTCTTCTAGACCAGAGAACTGGACACAGGCACATCCAGGAGAACCAATCCTCAGGTAGCCAGGGGTGGAGAGTCGGGTGAGGTGGGAAATAATGGCTGATGCTGAGGTGGCAGTTCAGAGGGAGGGGAAGGACAAGATCCCCACTTCCCCCCACCAGCACTGTCTGACAGAGCTTCGCATGGTCTTGGAATATTCTGTACCTTTGTTGTCCAATACATGTGTCTATCGAGCACCTGAAATGTGGCTAGTGAGGCAAAGGAGCACAACTGTAATCTTACATTTTGATTAATTTTACATTTAGGTTAAAATACCCACATGGGGCTAACAGCTACTGTATTGGACAGTACTATTATAGGTCGATCAATGAATACTATAATTTTTAATGGGGAGTTATAATACCTTTCTTTTTATTTTCCTTCTGAGTTATTTCCAAATGCTCCCATTCATTTTCTGAGCAAGAAACTAAAGAAAAGGCTACGTAAGCTTCTCACATGTTTTGATCACCCAGCACAGAGGACAGCAAAAGGTGTTTTATAACCTCACAGTGGGAAAGCCAGTTTTTTGCACATGAGAAAAAGTAGGGTTTCTTTGGTTTTCTTTTGATTTCAAGTGTTCTCTTGCTTTTAAGAATCATGAAAACAAGGATATTTATTAAATGAACACCATTAGGAAGAGCTGGAACTTTATTTGGGTTAACCAGGTGTTTAAAAATGGTGTTCTCTCTATGCACATCTGTAAAGAGGTACATAGTATACAGCCTTCAGGGTGGTTCTCAAACTCTGGCCCACAGCACAAGTATTTGGGGGCTTGCTATACAGGTTCCCAGGCCCCACCCCCGGAGATTATTATTTAGGAAGTCTGAGATGGTGCTCATATTGGTACTTAAAAAACAATGATTCTGATGCCTACTGAAGCTTGAGGACCCAGAATTATTGTACTTATTCTGTGAGATCGAACATAAGAAAAGGCAGAACAGAGAGGTTCTGTGGTGGGTAGAACAGTAAGCAGCCAGTCCTTTTGGCAGGTCATGGAGGGCTTAGCCCCAGGTGGAGGTCCCTGCATCAGTGGCTAGCCCCCATCTCACCCATCCAAACAAGGGCCAAGTTTGCAATAGAAGGTGTGATTTCCAATGGAGCTATGTTCTGGAATTAGCAAATGCAGATCTTAGGGAAAGTTAGCTTTGACCAAATAGTCATTTAAAAAGACCCCTAAAGCCCAAAGCTTTGGAGAAGAACAAATGCTTTAGCAGCAAAATGAAGACAGGAAGTACCCCCCCCGCACCCCCCCCCCCCCCCCCCTGCAACCAACTGAGTCTCCATAAGGCTCTGATGCCCATGGACGAGTAACCAGGAGGACGCTGGCTGTCTTCCAGAGCCAGGGGGAATGTGAAGAGATCGTGTATCTTACCTTCAGGCCATTGAGGTCAGACCAGGTGACATTGGGAACCGAGGTTATGGGTGAGAACAATTTTCCTGGGAAGAACAGATTGTAATGTCCTGTGGCCGAAAGGTACATGGTCAATGCCATGTTGAAGGGCAGGGTGAAGACAGGGAGGTCCCATTTGCCGAACACGGAGTTCAACCCACTTGAGAAAATTGGACTAAAAACAACAACAGAAGAGAATGGAAGAATATGTGTGTGGCAGCCAATGTTGACAAATCGAATCTCTCTGCGAGGGATGGCTTTTGAATATGCCCCTAAAGTGCTGCATTGGAAAACCATTCACAGAAAAAACAAACAAAAAATCCAAACACACTTGAGATAAATCCTGTCATAGAGAGAATAATTCTTACATAGAGTAAAAAAAAATCAACTCATAGTTTGTTTGGCTTTTGAAAAATTACATCTGGGTTGCTTACAGTGAGCCATAAACCTCTAGGTTTCAAAAACATTTTTCTAGTATTTAAGACATAGGAAATAAAATATTATTTACATAGGTAAAGCCACATGTGTGACCTACTCGATCACATGCCCTTCCCTCCCCCTCAGAGGTGACCACGATCTTGAACTTGTCTATATCTCTACAAGTCTTTAGTGTATGTATTTTTTAAAAAGATAAACAATTATCCAAGGGAGGATGCAGGTGATGTGGGCTGGATGAAGAAGGTCTTAAACTCAGAGGGACAGAGTTTTAGGTCAGGGATGGCGAACCTCTGACATGCGAACTCATTTTTTTGGTTTATTTTTCTTGGTTAAATGGCATTTAAATATATAAAATAAATATAAAAAATATACACCTTTTTTTACTATGGTTGCAAATATCAAAAAATTTCTATATGTGACACGGCACCAGAGTTAAGTTAGGGTTTCTCAAAATGCTGACACGCCGAGCTCAAAATGTTCGCCATCACTGTTTTAGGTCCTTGAGCAGGTGAACTGTGTGACCTTGGGCAAGGCACTGCTTGCTCCTCAGGGCCCTTGACTGTAAACTGGGGGTGGAATTAGTTGGTCTCTGGACTCTTTTGCACACTCACTTCTTGACTTACTCAGAGGGCCATCCCTTTAAGATCAGAACTTCGGATTTCATGGGTTGTGGGAGGGGGTGTGGTGAGCACCCACAGGCAATGACTTTTGCCCTTGAACCTGTTCCCCAGAGTAGGCTGGGAGTTACCTCCTGGGCAGGTGGGCTTTGCTGCCAGGTTCTCCTCCACACCCTGCAGGTGCAGCCTGGGGGGGTGGGGGGGTGGGGGTGGCTCTCCTGCAGACTCTGTTCAAGGCGGGCTTTACTTCTCATTTGTGTGGATATTAGTATTTTATATTCTAAATATGCTACAGTAAGAAGGAAATGTTTGCTTCCAAAAAATAAAAAAGATTTGTGACACTGTCAGCATGGAAACTAATTTGAAGAATTCAGGCTTTTTTTTTTCTTTTAAGGAACTGAATTCAGTAAGTAACTTTTTCCTCATTCCACCATGATGCTGACACCATCCTCAATAAACATTTTTTTTTGAAGGGAGTGGGGCAGGTGGGTAAGGGGAGTTCATAGAGGCACAGTGGTTCTCAAAGTGGGATCCCTGGATTGGCCATATCAGCATTATCGGGGAACTTGTTAGAAATGCAAATTCTCTGCCCACCCAGGTGAGCATTGATCCATGAACCAGTAGATCAAGGTTTGATTCCTGGTCAGGGCACATGCTGGGGTTTCGGGCTTGATCCCCAGTAGGGGGCATGCAGGAGGCAGCTGATCGATGATCCTCTCTCAGCATTGATGTTTCTCTCTCTCTCTCTCTCTCTCTCTCTCTCTCTCTCTCTCTCTCTCTCTCTCAAATCAGTAAAACCATATTAAAAAAAAGAAAAGAAAATGCAAATTCTCAGGCCCCAATCTGTGTTTCAACAGGCCCTGCAGGGGATTCCGATCGTGTGCAGGTTGAGGACCACTGATGCAGCCAAAGGCTCTCAACTTTGGTTGTACTTTATATTTTTTAAAAAATATATTTTTATTGATTTCAGAGAAGAAGGGAGAGGGAGAGAGAGATAGAAACATCAATGATGAGAGAGAATCATTGATCGGCTGCCTCCTGCATACCCCCTAATGGGCATTGAGCCAGCAACCCAGCATGTGTCCTTGACCGGAATCAAACCCAGGACCCTTCAGTCCACAGGCCGACGCTCCATCCACTGAGCCAAACCGGCTAGGGCAACATTGATTGTACTTTAGAAACTTCTGGGGCTTTTAAAACTTCCAATTGCCCAGGCAACAACCCCAATCAAGACTGATTACATCAGAATATTGGGGAAAGGGGAGAGAGGGTATGAAGGGCCATATGTACCAGTGTGTTTCTGTTTCCTTTTCCCAATAGACACAATCCGAATCTAAATTTTTAAAAATGATTTCTCTAGAAGTTGCATTATATACATAACATGAAATTTATCACGTAACCATTTTAAAGTGTGCACTTATAGAGCACTAAGTACACTCACATTGTTGTACAACCAGCACCACCATCCAGTCTCAGAACATTTTTCATCTTGCAAAACAGAAGCCCTGTACCCATTAGCCCTGTACCCATTAATTCCCCATTCCTACCTCCTCCCCTATAATTTGTTATAAAAGCATTTCAAAGACCAGTTATAACTTACCAAGTCATGGACATCACAGAGACAGGGAATAGCAGCCACCAGAAGTAGTCTCCCTTGTTTGAAAAGACGGCCATAAGTATCCCCACGAGGGTGGCGTTGTAGCCGTGCAGCCCGGCTGCGATTGCTGACCTGCGGGCGAGAGGCACAGCGTGGACATTTTCCGGGTGGACACTGGCTGGGCTTGCACTAGTGACACTTATAAAGTCCAGGTCATATTCACATTAGAAAATGAGATTATATTTAGAAATCTATTTCCAAGTCTATAGAAGCCAAATACTACTAAAAATGTGAAAAAATACAAATGTACACTTAGAACAGCCCCCTACAGAGGCATCAGAGCTAACGATGCGCCAAACCAGTTCTGTTTCCTTTAGCCTTTCCTTCGGGAAGTTATTATTTCTTTGAAATCATTAAGGGCCTCTGACTTGAATAAAGCTTTTAGATGAAACTGTTTTTGAAATCTGATTTTCTTGGTCAGGTGTAAGATTCTTGAAATGAAAATTCACTTTCACAGTGTCTTTGATTTTACAATTTAACATACATTTTATCTTCCTGTGCTTCCATTTTTGTTGTCTCCAAACAAAGATTTCTAAGTTAGTACAAAGAAAGATAATTACTTTTCTTTTACTTGGCAAAGTATTCCATTTGATTTGGTGCATATTTAGCACCTGATTTTTTTCTTGGGGCCCTTTTTGCTTCTGAGCATTTAACCTCACTTCCTGTTTGTTCTTCCATTCCAGACCCCGTATTCCATTCCCCCCCTTACTATTATTACCTCTCACGGAAATGGCCACGTAGAGACCTGTGGTGATATTGTCCTATAGACGAAAAAGGGGCCACATACTAAACCTGATAAGCTTAGGGGAGGCCTGTCTGGGGGAGGGAGGGATGCCTCCAAACTCAGAGACCTAAAGTAACCTCATAGGATGGTCTGAAATGAAAACTTTCTAACTAAAAGCAGTTGCAAGGCAGGTGGTCATGCCCTAGGATGGTGTTCTTCTCTAACAAATGTCAATCTTTACCTTAACTGAGCCTGTCTATTGTCTTTTTGCACCTGCAATAACATACCCCTGGAATGTCAGGGTAATTTTCTTTTTCCAGACCCCTCAGGGTGCAAACACTGCACCAAAGCAGAGACCTCAAATCCCCTCATTGTTATTATCATGTTATCCTATACCCACCTAAGTAAAAGAAGTATGTATCTTTAAAAAAACGTTGTATTCCTTTTACTTTTTACCCAACCCCAGAGATTTCCCCGCCTCTCTTTTCCCCCTCCCTAATCTATCACCAATGGATTTCATGTAACCCCCTTAGGTCTTCCCCTTTGATTCTAATGTAGAAAATAAGTGGTAAAATTGCCATTTTCTGGAGCATTTTTCTCAATCCCTTGAGATTGTGTTTCCTGGTAATTGTGGCCAGTTTGGCTCAAATAAAAATTCTTACAGGTTTGGACATTTCTTACATTGACTGTTGGCCCTGCTTGTCATGAGATTTAGGGGATTCTAAGGGAATATGTTCTTTTAAATTTGAATTTATTGGTGTTACATTGGTTAATAAAATTATATAGGTTTAAGGTGTACAGTTCTATAATACATCTGCATATTGTGCATTCACCACCCCAAGTCATGCCATTTCCATCACCATTTACCCCCCCTTTACCGTCTCCTGACTCCTCTCACCCTCATTTTCCTCTGGTAATGACCATACTGTTGTCTATGAGGTGTTTTTTTCTTAATCCCTTCACCGTTTTTTACTTAGTCCCCCCCCCCCCCCCCCCCCCCACACACACACACTTCTCCCCTTGGATCTCTCCTTAGATTCCACATATAAGCAAAATTACATGGCACCTGTCCCCATCTGACTGACCCACCCCACCCAGCACAATGCTCTCCAGGTCCATTTGTGCATCTGCAAAAGGCCAGATTTTCTTCCCTTCCATAGTAAAGCAGCGTTCCGTGGTGTAAATGCACCACAGCTTTTTTATCCACTCATCTACTGATGGGCACTTGGTAACCTCGCTTCCTCTCCTGGTCAAAATGGTTCCCATGTTATACCTGGGAACTCGAAGCCACTGGCAACACCTGGCACCATGAAGGGCCCGGCATTCAAGGGTGAATGAGCCACAGGTGTGAAGATCATGGAGTGAGTGGGTGAGATCAAATGCGGGGCCCCAGGGGGAGTTGACACAGCCAATGAGCCACACTCCCGGGTGGCAGAGGATCGCGTGAGAGCTCCTTGGCTTGTTGGTAACTGGAGCAGGAGGCACCCATGATCAGCAAGATGATGTCATGCTGAGTGAGAGCATTAGAAGAAGGACTCTCTGTTCAAACGTCCTTTGTCTACCTTTAATAATCCCCCAGGCTGTGTGGGAGGTGATGTAATCTGTATTGATTTAACCCAGGAAGTGATAACGCCCTTCACAATTGGGACTAAACATGACACTGGAGAACTAATGCAAAGACGTATCCTCTCAAGAACTGACTTTCAGAATTAATGCTTTAGTTTGGTCAACAAATTTAATGGCAATGCCTACAAGTTGTGGAACACCCTGGTTAAAGCAGCAAGAATATTTATATTCACTTAAAACAGAGGGTTGCTGTTTTAATGCTGTCCTTTGAGGACCGGGATGAAGAAAAGAGATTTGTAAACTAGCACGTGTGAATATGCCTGGTCTTCTAAAATACACCTGATAAGGAAAATGGGTCAGTTAGCGAAGCAATGAAGGAACCTTTGCTATGGCACAGTCCGAGGCCACACCTCCAAAGTGGAAAGACCATTTCTTGACATGCATTGGGAAAGGGTTTAACCTAAGATACTAAATCACCTTCTACAGATAACAAATCAGGCTCCTTGGAGCTGATGCAAAAGTGGAGCATTTGCTGACTCTCTCCCCAAGAATCTTCTGAGGCAACGCACAGTAAGGGCAATAAGAGCTTAGTTGTGTAATGACAACCCACAGGGGATTATGCATTGACCTTGAACACTGGGAAGACCTGCAGCCTCCCTGGAGAAACGGGTTAGTCAGGAGTGTTCTACACCTCTGATGGGTGTCAGCTCATCCCTTCTCCTTCTTCCTTCTCCTTCTCCTTCTTCCTTCTCCTTCCCCTTCTTCTTCTCCTTCATCTTCAACATTTTAATCACATTTAATTCAGTAGTTCTTTTGTAAAATGATACTAAGACTGTCAGAGAAGTGTGACCACCTACCAATGTATTTTCAAATAGGATGATTTCCTTATGTTTATTACTTTTAAAAATGCCATAAAACATTTTAACCACTTGACAGAACACTTTGTAAAGTGGATGCTATTTCTAACCTAGCACATAGTTCAGAAGATATCCTAACACTACAGTCAGAACTTGCTGACTTGAAATTTGTGGTTATTCATCTCTCTAGATTACAGGGGTGGGCAAACTTTTTGACTCGAGGGCCACAATGGGTTCTTAAACTGGACCGGAGGGCCGGAACAAAAGCATGGATGGAGTGTTTGTGTGAACTAATATAAATTCAAAGTAAACATCATTACATAAAAGGGTACAGTCTTTTTTTTTTTTTTTTTAGTTTTATTCATTTCAAATGGGCTGGATCTGGCCCTCGGGCCGTAGTTTGCCCACGGCTGCTCTAGAATCTCAGCAGAATGAATTTACTGAACGAATCATGGACTAAAGATATAAAGGAGATTATTAAGCCAATAAGCTTTTCATGCATTTTTGCCCAAACAAAAAAAAAATGTTGATCGATTATTAAAGAAGATCCCTTTAGAATCTCTCCTGGGATTTACTTGTAGCTTAGTTCTGGTTACCATGTACTGCTATGAAAATTTGGCATTGTTCAGACTGGCTGCTTATTCAGGTGCCATGAATAAAAGCAAATATAAAGAGTTCTGTGGAATAAAGGTTGTTTCTCCTGGGAGGAGTGGGGCTTTATTAGGGCTACTCCTGTGTCCTCAGAAGTGAGAAGAGTGGCTTGGATGGGTGCACCTACCTGTCCTGACTGAGCATCAGGGCTGTCAGGGTGGAGACCGCGGTTCCTATAAAGCCATTGAGAGCCCACCAGGGGTTCTGGACCAGGAGTCCCACAAGAATCAGGATTCCACTGATGGGGTTGTTGACAAGCGCCACCTGGGACAGGCCCCGCAGAATCCAGTCGAAGAACTGGAGCACTTGGGGTTTGTCTGCAAAAGATGACAAGGGCAGAGCTAAGAAAGCAGTGAGGAGCCCCAAGTTTAGGGCCCTCTTGAGCAAAATCATCAAAAGCCCCTCTGATGAAGGTGAAACATTTTTTTAATATTCTTTGAACAATTTTCTCTTTAGTGGCACCCAGATCCTTAAGCATCCAATTTCTTTATGCTCAACCCACGCTGCCCCTAGTAGAATTGCAGCTCCGGAAAGTGTCAAATGCACTTCTTCATCATGCGTAGAGGTACAGACTTTTAAGCCAAAGGACGGAATTACCAACAGTAAAATTTTAGATTTTAGGTACTGAAACAATAAAATGGAGCCAGTTGTCTTCCTCTGATAGGAGCAAGGTCCTGCCCTGACCACTATCTCCATTAAAAAAAAAGTTTGAAGAGGCTTGCAGGTTAAAAGATAAAAAGTTTAAAAATGGGGAGGAAAGAGCTAGAAAGTAGGTGAATACAGTCAAACCTTGGTTCTCGAACTTAATTCATTCTGGAAGGCTATTCATGAAGTGATTTGTTTGAAAATGGAATCATTTTTTCCCATTAGAAATAATGTAAATTGAATTAATCCATTCCAGACCCCCAAATGATTTACTGTTTTAACCTTTCTTATATACAGTACATGTCTAATGTACTGTTTAATCTATAAACAAACACTTCTTAAATGTATTGAACCATCCCCTTCTAGCCTGAAAGGAATCACTTCCAGCACTCGGTCCAGCTCCCGGTGGTGTCTTTCAGATCTTTGCTTGTTCACTTACCACTGCCTCTGAAATGCTGTCACTGGCTAAGTGCTTGTCATTTATCCAAATCAACAACAGTTTTTCTGCCTCTTCAACTGCCTGTGATCATTGTTTCTGTCACACCCTCAGCAGCATTAGCACTCTTGATGGCCTCTTTATGTTTTAAAACTGTGCTAATGATTGATTTTCACCAGCAACGAAAGCATTCTCTCCTTTGTTTGTTGCCTGAGAGATGCTTTTTGTCACGCTGAGATATCAGCATGAAAGGGTTGTCAGGCCCAAAACCGAAGCTTGGTTCTATGACAATCCAACTTAGACATTTTTTTTCTCCTGAACAACTTGGTGGAGACTGAGATTCGAAAACTGAGGTTTGACTGTATAACTAAATATATGAGTAGAAGCATCAGCAATTTCTTCCAAATCCATTTCTCATATCTCTTCAAAGGATGGAAGCAAAAATACCTTTAAGCCAGCTGGCAAATTCTTTCATGTCACCGGTGACATAGCCAAGAGCCTTGGGAAGGCGCCTTCTCCTTCGACGCGGTGAGGTCAGGTTTTCACCCCGGTCCACCTTAACCATAGTGGGGCTGTCCTCCATGGCTATCTCTTCCCCTGGCCCCTTGAGGAAAGAGCAGAGCTCGTAAACACCCGCGTGCAGGCTTCACCGGGCTGGTCAGCATAGGGCCTGGTCACAGCAGCCACAGAGGATGAGTTTAAATGCATTATTTCATCTGGACCATGACATCTCATGATATTAAGAAATCACCATTTTCTTCTTGGAATATCATCATGGAGATGATTGCCCAAACCCAAATTCCATCCTACTTTCGTGATTACTGTCTTTGATGCTATCATGAGAAGGTTCTTGTCTTTATTTTCATAAGGTTCGGCTCCTAATTCAACAAACATTTACTGAGTGCTTATATCCTGCACTCAAAGATCTCATTCAGCCTAGTGGAAAAGGCTGGAAAACAGTTAATTTCAACATAATGAAGCACATAGTAATGTAGAAAGAGTTAACGTCACATGCTTAAGCTTCATGTTGTCAATTAAAGGAGCCAGTCATCAGATTACAAAATGGTGCTCACTGATGCAGACCAATCAGCTGCTTTCTAAGACCAACAGCCTTTTAAAATTAAAACTTAATTTTATGGAAAAGGCTTTATGTTTAAAAATTTGAAGATAAGAAAAATTTTAAAAGCAGTTAACACTGCCTAAGAAACCCCATCACACACATTCTTAAAATTCAAAGATTACTTGAATATGCCCAGCTGGAGTGGTTCAGTGGTTGAGCATCAACCTATGAACCAGGAGGTCAGGTTCGATTACTGGTGAGGGCACATGCCCGGGTTGCAGGCTGGGTCCCTGGTGGAGGGTGTGCAGAAGGCAGCTGATCAATGATTCTCTCATCATTGATGTTTCTATCTCCCTCTCCCTTTCTTTCTGAAATCAATAATATATATATAGATTATATCTTCACATCAGGCAACCACTTCAGACATTCCTCATTTTTGGAATTTGTTATTTAAACGTTTTAAAACAGGCAAGAGTAACATTACACAAAGGTCTAGAACATAGGAAAAGTGGGAGTGGACCACGCTGTTGAAAACCAGAGAGTTGTAATGTAAGAACGGTACAATAGAAGGATGTCCAGGGTGTAATTATAGTAAACATGCTTCAGAAAAATAACAACAACATAGCCATGGCTTGTGTTCACTTGAGATTCTTCCCTCCCCATGATTAGTGTGAATGGGAAAGCACCAGCATCACCAGAATATGGTACTCTGCAGACAGAACTGGTTTCATGGTAGACACAAGAGAATACCAGTGATGCCATCTCAGAGGTAGGCAAAGGGAGGAGACAATGGCACAACCACCTGGAGCATGCAGGAAAGGCCAAGAGCACAACCAGGTTAGTGTGAAGTAGGTGGACACCAAAACCAGAAGGCATAACTGTGGAATGCTGAAGCCACAGGCACATAAGACACGACCACAGAAGTATCAAAGCCCATGTAGATAAACCAGCTCACCTTCTACCTGTGGCTAGGCTGTGAATAAGGGGTTCTCATGGGTATTTTTGGCCCCTTCATTGTTCCATTTACCATGGCCAACAAAGAGCTATTAACAGATAGAAAAGTTATGCTTTGTTTTCCTTCAATCCCGACTCTAGTTTTGCCTTTTATTAACCCTAATTGGAAATCAATGTGGGTAAGTGACTTTTTATTACATAACTATTGTACTTTCATTGTGTTATTTCACTGTTTAACCATCCTGCTTTCAAACAATGGTGAACCATTAATCATAACACAAAGTAGAAGGTATTTATGGAACACATTCTAGATTAAGCTATTTTGTTTTGACAAAATAGTGTTAGATTCTTGCATTTGTGAGACATCCAATGAACCTTTGCATTAAGAATCTCTTCAATTGAAAACTGCTGGAGGTTAGGAGCCAAAATAAAGTCTGTATGGAGCTCACTGGCCCCAGAGTTAAACATGTAAAACTGAATTAGTAAGCAATTATAAGAAATTGTCTTTTATTTCATAATCTAAGTGATGGCTACCACTTATTTTCAGATATCTCCCTCTCTAAATCTCATTATTGAAAATATCGCTTGGTAAGCCCTTCCTCAGCTACAGTGACTCGTTTTAAAAGCCAGGCCAACTTATTGGAGGCACCAGGCTTCTGCCCCGGCAGCCACAAAAGGCTCAGATACAACCGTCCCGAGTTTCTCACATCAGCATGGAAGGAAACCAGTAGAGGGGCATTTTCCGTCGAGTACAGAAATGAGTGGGAACATATGGGTTATTCTGGGGTGAACAAATTCATGTTCTCAAAGTTTCCAGCCTACATTTATTTGTTTTAGAAGGCTTGGACTCCACCATCGCCGCCGAGATGTTGGAGATACAGATACGAAACTTGATAAGCATAACTGGCCCGACGTGATCGGGAACCTGAAGGGCCTGAGTGCCCTGCGGAGCCGCCCAAAGGTAAATAAAGACTGAATTTTCATCTCAATCCGCAGCCCGCCGTCAAGAAGGCTTATTGCCACTGTCTCTCCAGGGTCCACGCCTGGGGTGCGTGGTAGGGCCTCCAAGCCTCCGACACAGGAGTCTTCTCCTGAGGTGAGCAGACAGCTGCTGCTGATTCGGAGCCAAAGGAACCATTTGTTCGGAACTACGAGAAGCTTCTGGAGACCCTGGGAGCCCTGACTTCTTGCTCTGGAACTCAGGCATGAGCACTGGTTATGAGAAGCCAGTAGCTTAAAGGCTGCAGTTCATCCTACAATTTTATCACCCCAGACCAGCGGTTCTCAACCTGGGGGTCGAACGACCCTTTCTCAGGGGTCGCCTAAGACCATCGGAAAACACATCTATAATTACATGTTGTTTTTGTGATTAATCACTGTGCTTTAATTATGTTCAACCTGTAACAATGAAATTGGGGTCACCACCACATGAGGAACTGTATGGAAGGGTCGCGGCGTTAGGAAGGTTGCGAGCCACTGCCCTAGACTCTGCCTATTTGGGAACTTTAAGAACCCACACAGCCTAGCTGGAAAGGCGGTGGGAGACATGGAGCAAGGATCATCCACGCATGCCCAAACTTCTCAAATCTAACTAAGGCGCCATTAGCCTTTAACAGAAGGCAGGACAAGAAAATGCAAGGAAGAAACCCTAATAAAATAGAAGCAGGACCAAAACCCCAGGCTAGTTTTTCCTAGCTTTCCCGTCATCATCCAAACCCAGCAGCTCAGCCATCCCGCCTCTGAACCATGAGAAGTGCCCTGTGAGTTTCTGGACCCAGCCCCACGCACATCCGGGCAGCCCAAGCCGTGCGCTCGGCCGAGCGTGAGGACCCACTGCCCAGGCTCCACTCAGGAAAGACGCAGGAGCGCAGGTGCCCAGGCTCCGGAGACGGACGCTGCAGGAGGAAGCCTACCTGTTCCGGCGGCCCCCGGGCCCAGGCCAGCTTTAGCCGGGAGAAGCCTCCGCGTGTTGCCTCACCAGCTTTATTTCCAAAAGGGTTCCTCCAAAGAGGAACAGCAGAGGCGTCACCAGCGCCGCCAGCCAAAGACCGTCCATTCATCCTCCTTCCTCTCCACACTCTCCGTATATGACAAAGGGCAGAAAATACAAGAATCAGCAGGACGCGCGCCTTGGTTCTGCCGGGCAGGTGAACTGCGAGCTGGAGGGAGGCAGGAGCGTGCCAGGGTGTTCCTGGGTGGAGGAGACGTGGCCCCCGACTGAGACCTCTCACGGAGAGGGCCGGCTTCTCCACCAGCCAAGCGCTCCGTCGGCAAAGAGACAATGAGCTGACCACACACACCGGATGCTCATTTTACATTGCTTAGAACGAAACAAACAAAAAATGGTGGCAACCCGTTCTGCAAAGACAGCGACACAGATCTTGTTCTGCTGCGCGTTTCCACTACCAGGAGGCTGGCAGACCTGAAGCCTGCTCCAGTGGGAGGGGTGGGCTTCGGGGTCTGAAATGCTTCAGGCCAAACGGTTAGCGCTCCATCCTGGAGACAGAGGCCCAGGCAACTATCTCCTCAGTCTTGTTCTTTACAAATGTGAGGAGAGGCGTGGTGCGGACTCTGATTTTCGCTGGCTACACATAACACACAGAGAAAGCCCAGTCTAAGAGAATGCTAAATGGTGTTTTTTTTTTCTTTCTTGTATCTGAATAACAATTGTTAAATATGGGACATCATCTTGTTAATAATAAATAATTCTTAGTTGAAGGCTACAAGTGTGGCAGCTTTGTATTTATTTTTTTAAACTTCCGTTGCATCCAAGGATATAATTCTCCCTTCCTAGTTCCAGAAAAGTTGTAAGTGTGGCATTTCTCTCTCTCTCTCCCTCTTATTTAATTTTTACTTTCTTCTACTGCGTCAGTATGAAACTCACGAACTTACACTCTACTAGAGTCCTTCAGAACCATCTCCAGTCGTGGAATAGATCCCTGTCACGGCTTAGAAAATAACTATGTGCATGTGTGTTTATCTGTGGTTAAACCATCTGGTTTGTTAAGCACCAAACTGATGTGTCTATGGGTTACATTGCACATATTTTCGTTTGAGAAAGAGCAATGGTAAGACTCATCTCATAGACGGTTAAAAAAATAAAGAAGGAAAAGGAAAGAGAGAGATAACACAGACCGTCACATTTCATCAGAGCAGACGCATAGCCCTCCTGCCCCTGCAGGGCTCCTGTCTTCCCCCCACTACCAAAAGCACACACATCTTGGAGAATCACATCCTCTGAGCTCAACATCACTATTTTCTTAGAGCCAAGAGAAGGTAAAATTTGAGAGCTAGGTGGGGTTTGAGAGAGTGCATAGTTCAAGCCTTCGTTTTATAGAAGAGAAAACTGAGGTTCAGAGAGGGGACCCCCCAAGTTCACTCAGCAGAGTCAGTCTTACGGAATAGGAAAGCTTTGCCGGTTCTTTGTCTTTCAGTCTGGAGCACGTTAGCGCCACCCACGAGTCTATTCAGGTCAACAACCAGAGAAGAACAGCTTCTGAGTGCAGCCTGCAGCAGGCGCGAGGGCTCAGTGGGGTAGTAGACTCAGCCTGTCTCCATGGCTGCTTTGAAATAACTCAGAGATAGATGGGGGCTGAACAGTGACAAAGGGCTCGGCCACCCCCAGTTTTATCCTGTGTCCTGGAAGGAATCAGTGACTGTTCTGACAAACAAACATCTCCTGGGCCTCAAAGCAAGCCTCATTCTCCTGGATCACTGACACATCCACACCAAGGCTGGTGTGTGCTGAGCTTAACATCCTGAGAATGTTCTGGAAACTGCTTTCTGGCAGGAATCAGAAAGCCTAGATCACCAGTGAAACAAAACAGTGCTCATCATTCTAATATAGGCAATATCAGAATTTCAATCCAACCAACACTCCCCATTTTATTATTCAAAATAAAACTCGTTTTATTGTCAGCATATATTAGAAATTTGTGCAATTAGAGAGACCCAAAAGTCTCCAATTTTCTATGTCTCAAGTACAGGCATAACTTGGAGATATTGCAGGTGTGGTTCCAAACCACCGCAATAAGGTGAATAGCTCAATAAAGCAAGTTGCACAATTTTTTTGGTTTCCCAGTGCATATAGAAGTTACGATTACACCACACTGTAGTCTATTAAGCATGGAATAGTCTATTAAGTATAAAAACACAATGTACGTAATTAAGAACAATTTATTGCTAAAAAATTACTAATCCTGATCTGAATCTTCGGTGAGTCATAATCTATTTTCTAGCGGAGAGTCTTATCTTCAATTTGTTAACCACCCACCACCTTGCCCCCCTAATTTACACAAAGCACAATGAAGCGAAGTGCAGTAAAACGAGGTATGCCGGTATCACTTTAAAATAATAGTACCAAGTTTTGGATATGGATACAGAAGAAAGAATTTAAATATTCAGGCTCTTCCATATTAAGACACTTTCAACATTGACATTTATTTGGTACTTACAATACTCTTTAGTATTTTAGGTAGTTTTTGATATTAAGTGGTGGGAGGTGCTCCGTTGTCCTTAAAGCTGTAAGCAGAAACAAAGAGAACGCTGTCAGTTATTCCTGCCTCCTGATTAAAAGGCCTTCTCTTGGGAACACACTACTCCTAGCAGCCTGGAGGTCTGAATTCCACAGTAGAAAGTGCAGCTGCAAGGAACTTGCCAAATGCACGGCTTCCTTGAGCCAGCGCGCCCTCCTGGAGCTGAGCACTCCCCCTGCAGAGGACAGCACATGCCGGAAGATCCATAAAACCGGATTAGAAAGGGCCATTGCCAGCGGCCCACTTTTTTTTGGAGTCAGTTATGCCTCCAACTTGACTTCATTGTTTCCAGCACACAGCCCGAAACGCGCACAGCAGCGATGGACTCAGTCACCTAGCAGATCCCGGAGACATCTCGATGCAGACCCTCTTCCACGTGGAACTCGGGTGCTGTGCCCCCACCCTGCTTCAGAGACCAGAAACAAAGGCCTGGCTTCCAAGCTTCCAGGGAGAGGCCTGGGGCTTTGGGAAGCTGCTTTCTAGTTTGGCAAAACTCTGACTTTGCTGTTTCCACCCAGTTCCAGACTCTCTGAAACATTTCTCCATTCAAACAAAGAAAAGGGAAAAGGAGCAAATTTTAAAGTGGACCGAGCACCCAGCAGAAGTGAACAGAAATAAGGAGGGTACTCACACTCCGGCTGGCTTCCCGGGGCAGAAGGCACTGGCTGATAAAGCCCAGCCGGGCTCTGCTGGAGGGAGGGTGCTTAGGAGGAGGCAGTGCTGGGAGGGAGGCACCCAACAGCTTTATAGTCAGAACCCCACTCCGCATATCCGTGCACTCAGCTCTCTCCTCCCACTTCAGGCACCAGTGCCAAAGCAGTGCTCAGAGACTGGTCCCCTGCCCTGTACCTGATGTCTCTCTCTCTCTCTCTCTCTCTCTCTCTCTCTCTCTCTCTCTCTCTCCTCTTGATTTGGTGCCAACATCTTTTCCATCCTTTCCATGACATTCTGAGGTCTTTGCTCAGCCATAATCCTACTCAAATTCATCTTTTTCTTCTCCATACTGTTTCCAGTAGCTCCTACCCTCACCCAGAAATATGTCTGGGAAAGTTCGAAAGAGTATCACTTTAAAAACCAAGGTGGCAGATTGCTATGCAATGGACTCTGGAGCAAAGTGACTGCACCTGGGGGGAGGGGCGTTTTCTCGTAGGCCGGACACAGCTTCTGCACAGGTGTAAGAACCCAGCAAGGTCCGAGGCGCGTGGTGCGAGGGTGTGGGGTACAAGGGGTAGACAATTTGTTTATTTTGGAAACCAAGCTGCCCTTTCCCCAGCGAGGGGGAAAAATATATATAAATGTTTCCCTGCACCGTCTCTCTATCTAGGTGAGAATCCCAAGACAAATTCCACTGCCCTTTAAAAGTCCAGAGGCTACATGGTCAACAACATCGTGATAAGTGCACACAGTGACAGATGATTACCAAAATCAATGGGGTGATCACGTTGTAAAGTCTAAAAATGTTGTATCACTATATTGTACACGTGGAACTAGTATTATCAATGTAAGATTGTACACAAACTATACTTAAGTAACAATAAATTTTAAAACAGTCCAGAGGCAAACATTCCATAGCAGAGGAATCTAAAATTGAAGTGGAAAAAAAAAAATCCATTTCTTCCTCATTCTTCTGAAATGTCAGTTTTTCGGCATGTTCTGTATGGGAGGAATGTACGCCAGGTGTGCTTCAGGAGCACAGAAAGCTGTGCCCATGTCATCAGTCGTTCTCTCTGGGCTTCCCGCCCGCCTGGAGGAGCTGATAGCCCTTGTCAGTGGTCAGCAAAGCAGCCGCAACTCTCTGGCTCCACCCCCTGGACACCCGCCAAACCACAGGGCTCCCATCCTCTTGGGGACTCCCTCCCTCCAGTTGCCTCATATAACTGAGGGTATTTGTGTCTGGCGCCTGGGCGGGAGACCATAGTTCCAGGTTCATAATTAGAGTTTTGAGGTCTGGCATATTTCCTGTCAATATTTTTTTTTTCTGGTAAAATAAGGAGAAAGGAAACTCCTAGGGTTACCCTGAAAGGGGAAAATGAATCATAAGAGAACAGTCGGAGGGATTGGTACAGGAATGAAGGAAACTGCACTAGTGTTCCTTATGCCAGTGACCTACACTCCCCAATAATAATGATGATAGTAATGATAATGATACAAATTGCACAAATAGTTGAAATTCACTCTATGCAAATGAGAAATCCAACTTTGCACGGTCTGATTGGTCCACATAGCACTGCCCTGATTGTTCAGAATTGCACATTCTGGTTGGTTATGTTGCAAATGAGGATATAGCTGTACAGCTCTGATTGGACGGGGCAGATCTCAGACCATTGGTTGAAATACGATTCCAGGACCTCTTTTATAGGGGTTGGCTCAGCCCACAGGAACACAGTGCAGGAGTCTGGACAGCCCAGTGTGTGGCTTTTCCCTAAAATACAGCCTGTGTGCGAGGCCCCTTGTAAAAAAATGGCTGCTAGACTCTGATGATAAATTTGGTCCCATAACCACAAGAAATCCTTTTGACAGGTATA